ACAGGCTTTGTACAAAGCTGATAAAGAGACAGAAGAAAACATGTGAAAATAACCATAGAGCTCCACCTTCTGGGTGTATAGAAGACTACATCATATTCATACACAATATGTTATATTACATGATTTAACCTCTTGCCGTCTTCTGAAAAATGGCCTGGATGGGAAGGGGGTTTAACACCGCGGATGTCAACTGGTTAAAAATATATATTTGTAATATTCTTTATTTTTTTCCATAATAAATAAAAAAGATGCTAGAGGCAGCAGGCAAGTCAAATCTCCTTGCTCCAGTTTCCATAAATCAGACTCCATGTCTAACAGCTGGCCTGGGTCAAAGATGTGAATGTTCCAGCAGTCAGTATTGGTATGAGTGATTCAGAGTCCATAAAAGTAGCTATATTTTGCAGTGTAAGAACTCTTGAATATATCTTTCATAATGTGGTATATTTTGTGCTTGCTTCATATGTAGTGTTTATGACGTTAAGGATATGTATATAAACTGTCACATAAACAGGATTTTTCTAGAACATTTGCTAAATTGCAGAATCATTTTTTAGATCAGCGATTTTCTTGTAATAGCTAAATATTTACATTCGGCCTCACCAGAAGAACAATTTGAAGTTGAGCAATGATCAGTATAATCTGGTGTAGTTCGTAATGGTTTCATATGAATTCACAAAGCAAGAGTTTCTTGTTTGATAGCTTGCTTGAAAAATAATCCTGTCTACTCACATAACAAGAATTCAGAAAAGCCATCTCTCACATACTGCCTAGTACACAGAAACAGGTTCATTCACCATTTATCATACTGGCAGCTCTGAGTCAAAACCATTCCAGTTCTAGTAAATAAGAGTACCAGCCAATTTTTTTCTTTTTAAGAAAAATGAATGTGTTCAAGCATTTGTGTGCACCATTCACCTTTTGGCTGAATTCAAGGACAGATTTTGCATCAGGCCTCAACATCATGGCAATGCATTCCAGGATTAGCAGATGTTTCTTTGCCTGTAGATTTCTGTGACACATCTGTGTATCTATGGCCAGGTGAAATGGCTTGTCATTAAAAGTTCTCAGATACCCTACAGTGTTAGTGATGGAAGTGTTGAAAGAAGTCAGTCTCTGGATACAAACCTAAAGCCCTGAAGATATATACGAGATAGATAATGCTCAACTGTACATGTTGGGAAATAGAGATGGATTAGACATGTGCGATTCGTTTCGTTCCGAATCGAAATTCGGACGAATTTTCGGAAATTCGGACATTCGGATGTATCCGAATTCCGAATTACAGACATAACGAATGCAAACGAATCCGAATTTCCATTTCCGAAATTCGGTAGCGGTAGTTCCAACGTTCGTTTCGTATTCTGTTCTTATTAGTTTCTTATTCGTTTCGTTGACATTAGAGAAGAAGGCCCCCTCAAATGTCACTTTGCTGCAAACGAACGAACGAAACGAATAAGAAACGAATAAGAACAGAAAACGAAACGAACGGTCGAACTACCGCTACCGAATTTCGTCCGAATCCGAATTTCGAATCCGAATTGACTTTCACACCCGAATCCCGAAAAACGAAATAACACAAATCCGAATTTAAAACGAAACGAAACTAAACGAATTTTTTGGCAGTGCACATGTCTAACATGGATAATGTCATAGCTGGATTTTTACTTAGCCAATGTAGCCCAGCACTGCCAGGGGCAACATATAGCCTCCTGTACATCATGCAGCTGACTACCAGTAACACAATCTGATGAATACTGAAAGGTTTCAAATTGATGCCCTCTCTGCCGGGGCAAACTGGCTGGATCATCATAACAGAAGAAAAGCTGGCTGCACACCGGATTCTGCTGGGTAATTTATTGAAGCTTGTACTATATCACTGGTGTCCTGTCATAGGTCCAACCTCTCTGATGCGTTTCACAGGCTTAGTCGCAAATATGTGTGTTTTCCTTGTGGCTGGATCATCATATTTTGCTTCCTCAGTAGAGTCAACCCACTCTTGGTATGAACACCTAAAACCAGAATTCTAGCAGAACAGAAGTACAGTTTGCCTGCAATTCTTCATTGTTTTGATAAATCCCCCCCTCTGCCCCTTGTAATCTTGTACTGGACAGGAAGTTCAGGGAGGCTGAGCTGAGAGAGTTGGAGCTGGCTGTTTAGAAACATGATGACTGTTAGTGTTTGAGCAAATATGTAAAGAAATGATTTTCTGGAAAAAGTATATCTGTTCAATTAGAATACTTTATTAAGTTTTAGAGTGTAACGTTACTTTAAACCTTAACGTTCTGTTACAATATGCCTCTTTAGAGTATTGTCAAAACAATTGGAAATAACTTGAATTCTGGGGTATGGGTAGACGATGCATGCCCCTTGCCCTAATTCTTCCGCAGGACAGGGCAGAAAGGCATATGAGCTAGTAACAGCATTGTAGCAGGGGTGACATGCTTACAACCCTTTAGCTCAGTGGTACTCCACCTGTGGGTCGCAACCCACAGTTGAGGGGGTCACCATGTGCCCCCCTCACCTAGAATGCTGTGCTAGGTGAGAGGTTTTTCAGCCTCCTCCTAGCGCAGTAGTGTCAGTTCTCAAGCCACGCTGTTACATGGCGCTGCAGCAGCGGTGGTCGGGAAGGATCAAAGAGAGGGGAGTGGGCAGTAGTGCGTGGATGTGAATGCTGGTGATCTATCGGTAGCTGCATTGACCACCACAAAGCCTGTGCTGACCACCACAAAGCTTGCACTGGCCACCACAAAGCCTGCAATGAGCACCACAGAGCCCACATTGACCACCACAGGGCCCGGCCTGGGCACCACAAAGCCTGCATTGACCACCACAAAGCCCGCACTGATCACCACAGAGCCACACTGACCATCACAGAGCCCGCACTGACCACCACAGAGCCCGCACTGACCACCGCAGGGTCACACTGACCGCCGCAGAGACCACCGCGGAGCCGCACTGACCACTGCAGAGCCGCACCGGCCACCACAGAGGCCGCACTGACCACCACAGAGCCCGCACTGACCACCACAGAGCCCACATTGACCACCACAGAGCCCACACTAGCTGCACTGACAACCAGAGAGCCCGCACTCGCTGCAATGACCATCAGAGAGCCCGCACTGACTGCAAGAGAGCTCACACTGGCTACCTGAGAGGCCGCACAGCCCACTTGAGAGCCTGCACGGGCTCCTGAGAGCCTGCACAGATAATAGTATTGGTGCGTCCTTAAATGTTACCATTGGGGGTCACCAGTGGCGTAACCAGAGTTATGGGCACCCGGGGCAGAACATTTTTTTTCGCCTCCCCCCCATTTTATATAAACATCCACTAGAACTGTACCCCCCACACATATATATCAGCTAAGGAACTACAAGTCCAAGCATGCCATCATTGTCCCTGTACATCCCCCC